GCTGGTAGTTATGGTAACTTCTGCTTTGAGTGTCAAACCACGACAGGAGCAGGATTAAGAAGGCAAGAAGAAGAAGAAGAGCTGTATCACAGTATTTTGTACAATTCTTGTGGTTTCATTGTGTATGACGGTATGTTTCTGTTTGTTTTGTTGCATAAATGGGTCTTTATATTGGTTTATAATGGCTTATTCTACTGTCATCATTTATATACTAAAGGCTTTGATTAGTACCTGATGATACAATATATAAAGGAATCAGAATGTAAACAATTTTTATTGCACAAACTGCAAAAACTTTTTGAGAAATAAAATACATCAAATAGTAAACACTATAAACTCGTATAAAATCCTCAAGTTTTCAAAGCAGTTTTTCTCAAGTAAGAAACAAATTGTCACAAATTCACTGATGCAAACAGAATACGTGAGAGACAAGAATGTGTCTACTATTTTCTAAAATCTCAAACTTTTTAAATCACTCTTAAGCTGTTAAATTCAACACTTCCTGTACAGAGGTCTCACTTTAAAAGTCTTCAAGTAGCTCAGAGTTCAGAGCCTCTCTCTCTTCTTCCTTTTAGAATTCAATTTACAACAACCCAAAGCGTCTTTATATCTTTCTTGGCTCTGATTGGTTGTTTTCATCCAGGCCCGGTGGATTCTTGTAAATAGAATTAGGATCACTAAGAGGAGCCAAAGGCCTGTCTCGTGTATTACTGTCAGGATATAGTGAAAGTTTCAGTAAATATGACAAAAAGTTATTTTTATAAAAGTTATATGTTGGATTCATGTTGAAGTGTATTTTATAAAGTTATATATTATTTTTATATATAATATATGTACATGTTTAAACACAACACTCTGTTTGTTAAAAAGGGATTTAAATGATAAAATGATTAATCTTCCTCTATGACCTTGTTGCAGGTAGTTAGACGTAGGCGCTGATATGACCGAGGTAAACTCACGGGGCAGGTAGTGGGGACGCCATTTTACGGTTAGGAGCTCCAGGTTAGGCGAGCATGAGTGTTTGAGAGGGACAATGTTCCTACTGTCACACCAGTTGTTATTAACCATAAGGCACACTCCACCTCCCTTTGATTTCCCCGACTCACTCGTTTTGTCCGTGCGGTGAACTGTAAGGAACTCCGCAGGTTGAATGGCGAAGTCCGGTACAAGAGGAGTCAGCCATGTTTCGGTGAGGCAGATGATGTTACAGTCCTGTATGTCCCTCTGATACTGTATCCTGGCCCTGAGTTCGTCCAGCTTGTTCTCCAGTGACTGGACATTGGCTAGCAAAATACTAGGCAGTGGCGTGTGGTGTGCTCTTCGCCTCAGCCTTTCTCTTACGCCAGCTCTTTTCCCCCGAGGCCTTCTGCGTGACCTGGGGCTCCCACCTCCACCTTTGTTTGTGTCGGCTCCCTGGCGCAGGATGTCTGGGGGCCACGCCGGGTCGTACGAAAGTGGTCGTATAAAAAAGTTTGAGTACTGTAATCCAATGTTTAAGAGTGCCTGTTCCATGCTATGCTTCCAACTTTGTGGCTAACAGTTTTTGGTGGGAATCCCCTTTTCTGTTCCAACTGACTTGTGCCCCAGCGCACCTAAGTCAAGGTTCCCATTAAAGACATTGGTTTGATGAATTGGGTGTGGAAAACTTGACTGGCCCATCACAGAGCAGCTGACCTCCAATACGATGCACCTTCGGTGATGATGACTGTATTACAGAGATTTGCAAGCCAGGCCTCTCGTCCAATCCATAAGTGCCTGACCTTTATAGAATGTTTTACAGAATGATATGTGGCACAAATTCTCACAGATAACCTTTTCAAAATCTTGTAAATCAAGCCTTCCAAGAATGAGTGGTAAATGACAATCCCATATTAAACTATATGTATTTATAATACATTCAATTAATTATTTGTATACGCCAATCATAACCAAAGTTATCTCAGTGTACACTTTTCAAAATAGACAGGTCTTAGACTTGAACTCTTATAATCAATAATATTTATTATAGCATTAATTTGACAGAGACCCAACAGTACCAACATGATTAAGAACTTGTCACACAATGTCATTACAGTCCCTGTTGGTATAATGTTGAGGCGTCCAAATACTTTTGTCCATATGTATCAATATTTTCATTGGCCAGATCAAGTGACTATCAATAACGTGAAAAGTTTTGTTTGTAGTGAAAAATCCACTCCAATTATCACTAACTCCTGGGTTTGATTCATGTTTACGGAGCCTCTTTTAGCTCATTGTTTTGGTTTGACTGCCAACAAAGTCTGTTCTCATCAACCTTGTTTCCAGCTGCAGCAGGCAGCTGTTTTCACTGACTGTTCTGATCAACCCTCTTTACACTACCTGGTCAGCATCAAGCAGCAGCAGACAGACACAGAGACTAGGTAGTGAAAATAGTGATGCAATAAGCAGTCAAAGAGACGGATATTATTTTCAGGAGTTGATGGAGGATAGGTTAGAGGAGAGTGAATATTAGATCTCATTCATCAGGTGGACACAAACACGACTCCAGTGAATGATAATGTTGCTCTGTGTCTGCTGGATGTGTAAATGGGCAGCTGTTTGCTAACACAATCACCATATCAACTTTATAATGTGATGTGAATGCCAGGTTTTGTGTTTTCAGTTTGCTCTGCTGCCCCCAAGTGGTTAAAAATTTAGAGGATGCTTTAAGCTTTAAGGAAATGATCAACTTCAGAAATCATTAAATGGTAATTGCAGAATGTCTAAAAAGTCTGAACTCATAGGAACAGGGGCATATTCAGGGTGGCCTGGGGTGGCACGTTCCCCATTATCCTAAACTATGATGGCTACCGTTCAGAGGCAGGACCTTTTATTCAGGTAATGGTGCGTTTCACTGGTCGCCTGTCAATGATGTCATATCCCCTTTGTGCATGCGTCAGTGTTGTGGTTGTCTGCCAGAAGCTGTCGTACATTGACTTTTTGACGGATAGAAAACCTCCTGAACCATGAACACTGAAGGAATCCTAAGTGTGAGAAGGTGACAGCAATAGTGGTGAAGATAATAACTTCCATGATCCCACACTACTTAACAACTTTTGTTGTTGTTTTGATGTGAGAGACCCCCTAGTGGCAGAAATTAAATATTGTAGATTTAACGGTGAGATACTGTAATGTTAGTCAGTCAATGTTAGTAAAGCGGATATGAGAAATCTGACATCTGCATATCTTATCTATGCATAAGCTGGTGCCCCACTTAGGCCATCCCAGTTAAAAAGACAAAAAATAAATGAGAGTTTAAAGCAGGCATGTGACTTATATAATACTAAAGAATTGTACTTTATACCACATAGTCATCTGACAACTATTGTGTGGAGTATTGAAGTGTAGTAAAAAGACTGAGTGTTATATGACGCCTTGCAGAATGTGAGTGCTGAGCTGTCAGGTATCTTGTGATTCCTTCCCTCTGATTGTCTCTTTGCTGCTGTTATAAATTCCTGAGTTTTCAGCTGTAACTCCAAGCTGACAGAGGAATTGCCTGGAGGAAAGGAAATGCTGAGTCTGTTCCTGGGATGTTTGAGGGAAAACACACACTGACCCAAACCCACACACAACCAAACAGAGAGGGAAACTTTTTTGGAGAAAGTTTAGGATAGAAAGCTTCTTTGGTTGTGTTTAGCAAATAAGTCTGGCTTATCTAGCCTAAAATGTGTGCCTGTGCCACCCTCTCTCAGCCCATTTAGTGATTTGGTAATGGAAGCAGCTTTATTTGTTCAGTGAGTGATTATTAACCTAAAAACCTCACTCGAATTCTGAGCAGCGATTAGCAACCTTTTATGCTCAAATGGATTTTGTTATTTGACCTGACACACACATAGACAATCTGCAGCATGAATACAAATACAAACAGATGTAATAACAAAAACAATCAGTATGATGGGGGTTTGTGCCTGTCAGTGCAGTATGTCAGTAAAGAGTGTGTGTCAAGGGAACCGAGTTACACAGAAAATCGAGCGAATGTAACTTCAAAATAAGAGACTAATGTCAGTAATAGTGTAGAATTTGTCAATTATCCCGTTACCGAAAATGTGATTGTAACATGTGTTCCACTCACATAGCCGGTAGTTCGAGAAATAGTTAAGTAAAAAAAATATGCATAGAAATAGTTTACTGATACGAATAAATAAATGTATTAATAATAATAATAATAATAATAATTATAAAGTTTAAAAATACCAACTTCTTACAATGCAAACACCCAATGAATAAATACAAGTACAATACAAATAACAAGTATAGCAATATAATATAAATAATAAATAGACACAAATCATTCAACAACAACCAGAAAATAGTAATATACATAGATTCCAGCTCTTCCCCACTGATTAATCTCGACATTCATTCATTTCGAAAGTCAAATGTTTTTGTCAGTGAGACATTTATTTTGAAAAGCTCCACCGGAGCAGTTCCTGTGGTCAGCTCGGACTCTCGTACTGGGAGAGAAGTTTGGTCGGTCGCACCTACAGAGAGGCATGTGACGGTACGTTGACCGATAACCGAGGGACCGAGGAGCCTGTGTTGGACATGTCAGCCAGGTTGCACCGAGACACCGGCAGGAAGCTGTCTGCAGACGGCCAGCAGCACCGGCACAGCGGGATGGGTATGTGCTGATATTCTAATGCTGGGACAACGGCAGCTTCAGAGAGAGAGAGAGAAAGAGAGAGAGAGAGAGAGACAGAGACAGAGACATAGCATGTTGTACCAAATAATTCAAGTCTATATAAAGGCATTTTACCACGTGCCCTGCGGTGTGTTAGTATATATTATTCTATGATATTGCCTCTGTATGATCCTAGTTTGTTTTAATACATGCATACCTCACACACTATGTTATAGCGAAAATACAACTGCATGTTTTCTAGCCCTTAAATGATTATTAAATAGTTGATTACAGAAAATGATGGAAAAGGATTAGGGTCTAATGTAAAAAGTTAAGGAAAAATCTCAGTTTAAAGTCAGAATTACTCAGAATTTAAATTGCATGTTTACATATGGCCCTAATCCTCTTGCTTAAAAATAAATCAAGGCTCAGTTTTGATATTGAATCATTTGAGGGTTTTTTTTTAGCAAAATACCAATTATTTTTTCTAAAAATCTAATTTTAAATGTTTAAAGGAAAAAAATCAACAATAACTTTAGGCTGCAGGTATTCTGTCATTTGTACCTTTCAGTTAAAGTGTAAATTCAGGGGTTCCTCCCTAAGTGGGCAGGGGTGATATGGGGTGTCAGATGTTGTCAAATTAAAAACAATGTGTTAAAAAATGGAAGTGAAGCTGCAGGAGGTAACTTTTATAAAAATAACCTTTTGTCATATTTGCTGAAGCTTTCACTATATCCTGACAGTAAAACAGGAGAGAACAGAGACAGATAATCTGTGAAAAAAATTCTGGTTTCTTCCTGGGCTCCTAATGGCATTTGCAAAACAACCGATCAGAGCCAAGAAAGACAGAAAGATGCTTTGGTGGAGGCAAAGAAAGAGATTGAACTGTGAGTGTCATTCCCAAGTGTCTGTATTTGATGTCATGGACTCAACATCAACTATTTTTCTTGGCTCTGATTGGTTAGGGCCTAGTACCCAAATTACATCATTATTAACTAAATGAGGGTAAATTAGTGGAAAGGTAAGGTAAATAGTTGTTAGACCTGGAAGCTGTCCAACACAACCACAGTCTGATCTGAACAGCATTGGACCAGTTGAGTGCTAAGTGGTAGTAATAAACTGGGAATTGAACAGGCGATCTTCTAGACACCTCCATCTTTACCTTATTTTACAATGCCAGCAAGTACAGCCCACACTGTGTTCATAACAGCTTCTCCATTTCTTTCCTGTATTGGAAAGAAATTAAAGGACCAGTGTGTAACATTTTAGGTCTATGTCAGCAATGAAATATAATATTCCCTAGGTAAGTTATTCATTAGTGTATAAGTCACCTAAAGACTAAGAATCGTGTGGTTTCGGCTGCGCAGCGAATCGTACAGTCCTCACTCTCTCACACACGTCTAGCTGTCGGCTCTCTTTCTGACACACGTCCCCATTGTTGAACCTGCCATGTTCTACAGTAGCCAGAATGGAAGAAAGGGGGCTTATCCAGTTGTTCAATTGTGTGACTTCAACAATGCTCTTTTACAGTGGTGTGGTCTCTCCAAACAATTTGCCAGTCTGAAGGGAAGCTCTGTCAAGCATGCTGAGAGAACTTCCACAGGTGAGAGCTGTGTGCGTGTCTGACAAGGACAGTTTGGTTTTGCTTTTAAGACATTAAGCAAAAAATCAACACCCGCCTTTGGAAGGTATTATCGCCCCCTGATGGTCAAGATGATTTTACTTGTATTTTCTTTCAGAAGTCAATTTCTGGGTCATCAATACGTGTTTCTTCATATCTACATTCGAAAATTGGGACAAGCTTATTAAATTAGGCCTTCTACAGTCCCTTCAGGATTTGGCGGCTTTTTTTTTTGATGGTTGTAGCCTAAAATGTCTGCTTTCACGGCCATCTTTTTAAAACCCATTGCAATCTTTTAAAAAGATGCCGTGAAATCAGACATTTTAGGCTACAACCATCAAAAAAAAGCCTGCCAAATCCTGAACGGGACTGTACAAGGCCTAATTTAATGCTTGCCAACTTCTTGAAATGTAGATATTGCAAACACTATATGACCAGAAATTGACTTTCTGAAAGAAATACC